ATTATTACCAAGTTACTGCCTCTTCAATTCTCAACGAACAGAGAAAGCGTAAAAAAAAAAAAAGAATTTAGTGTAACATAGAAGTATTAGCAAAAAAATAAATAAATAAATAAATAAACAGTGATTGAATTTCCAAAAATTGGTGGAACGCCAAATCGCTAATCTGAGGTGCCATCGAAAACATGTCTGAAAACGTTGCTCATCGAAAGGTTATTTAAGCGACAGTAGCTAAAAGTTGAAAACGGAACTGCTATGATCTATTTTTAAAGGTTCTGGACATGAGCACAGCAACAACCAACAGTTTAAAACTTGCATTACTGCACTTGTTGGTGCAGTCAGATTAACTGTGGTAACATCAGTACATTTTTAGGTTCAATGCTTCTTGTGCAACCTGCACGGTAATCCTAAAGTGGGCTTGAATTTTGAAGAAGAAAGAAATCGTTGCGTAGCAGAAAAGAAACTTTTTGAAGATCCGGAATTTCCTGCAAGCGACGAAAGTCTTTATATGCAAAAAGCAGGAGAACAAAGCAGCGAAACAGAGTTTCAAAAGACACACAGAGGTTACATTTGGAAGAGACCCGGAGTAAGCTTTTGAGGATATAAATTTACTGCGCCATAAATATTTGACAGTATACACGAAGCAGTTGCAATAAAATTTTCCACATTTTCTAATCTCTACTAATGCTTTATAAGATTTCCCACATCTACTTATAAAAAAACTGCTAAATTGAGCTACGTAATTGCATTGACATATTGTGACCTTTTACTGTTAAAAAATTATTTATCACTGAGGAAGCAAAGAATTCAAGTAACGGATTTTTAGAAAAAAATCATTTGTGCACGCAGATTGTAGAAAAAAGTTCTAAATTCTGTAACTACAGGAAATAGTGGAAGATCCCCAATTTATTGTATCTGGCCAAAGTCGTTTTGATGTTACTCAGGGGGCTCTCAGTGATTGTTGTTTGAGCGCTTGTGCTTCAACGTTGCCACTGCATGAAAAATTGCTTCATCAGGTCGTACCGTTAAATCAAGGATTTAAAGAGGGATATGCAGGTAAAAGTGTGAGTTCATTTCACACAGTATCTTCCAAACTGTCAAACAAAACAAAATCCGCAGGTTTATTTTTTCATTTTCTTTGATGTCAAATCTGGAAAGTAGAAAACTACAAATATTTGATTTTTTTTCTTAGGAATTTTTCATTTTCAATTTTGGCATTATGGCGAATGGGTTGATGTGGTCATTGATGATCGCCTGCCCACCAAGAATAACCACTTGGCATTCATGAGATCTGAAGATAAAAACGAATTTTGGAGTTCATTACTCGAAAAAGCTTATGCAAAGTAAAAAAGTTGAATTTTTATTCTAAGGTTTTTTTTGTGAAAAAAACTTTTTTTGCTTTCAGAAGCAAAGTTTTAGATTATGGGGCAGCTATGAAGCTATAACTGATGGCTGCTTGGCAGATATCATGGAAGATATGACAGCTGGGATTGTGGTGAATTATACAATCAGCGAATACGACAGGACAACGTTGCGTAAGATTGCTAAAAAGGCGTTTGCAATGCGATCTCTAATAACATGTGGCATCGATGTTAATCTTTCTTTTAAGTTGTCATTCAATGTTTGCTTTCTTTTGTAAGCGAAAAATTATCCTACACTGCTTTAACAAATGTTCTGCTTTCAGCGTTCAAAAGGGAATTCCGGCAATGAATTGGTCCCCAATCACGCTTATGGCATTACGGGTTTTGAAACGGTGCTCAACCTTAAACTATTTTTCTTATTTCTATCGCTTAAATGCTTACTAGGTTAAATGTTTACACCACAAGCGCAAGCGGCTATTATTTCTTCAATACTATTAGAAACTAAGAAACTTTATCTGGTTTACTGCTTGCTAGGTGCAATACTTTGGTCGAGAAGTCTTCCTCGTTCGTCTTCGTAACCCGTGGGGTAACGCAATTCAGTGGAAAGGACCTTTTGGTGATAAGGCTGCAGAATGGGATTATGTCTCAGAAGATGATAAGGAAAGGCTGTTGGTTGTCAAAGATGACGGTGAATTCTGGTAATGCATACAAGATCAATGCCATTTTCAACTGATGCTACAAAAAAATTTTTCTTTATCTTTGAATTACTCTTACCATTTAAAGGAACTAATTTAGGATGGTGTGGGATGACTTTATGCGTCAGTTTTCAACTATGCATATATGTATGTTAGGTCAGGAAAGTGTCAGAGAGGATCAGGGCCTGTCCGACAAGAATTCTAATGAAACACGTGGTTGGCAATATGTGGAAATTCACGGCGAGTGGTCAGCTGAAAAGGGTGTTGCTGGAGGACTGAAATCTGGTTGGAAGCATATTCTTATTTTACTGGTCAAAATATATTTTGCAAAAGAATTTTATTTAGCTTAATATTAGCTTCATATTTTTTTCTTACCAAATCACGGCAGTAACGCTTATACTCTGAAAAACTGTTTCAAGTACAATTATAGGAAATTTTACGTGTAATCCACAGTACAGCATCCGTATACCAGATGATGGAGATGAAGAAACATCACTAATAATTGAAGTCATGCAAAAACATGAAAAAGAAACCAAAGTATGAACAAAATGTACGAACAGTGAGTCTCCTGTCTCATCCTCGTACACAGATTTAATACTGCATTTTTGCAGGGGACGTTTGTCAAAAGAATTGGTTTTGCGATGCTCTCAAGAAATAGAGACCTAAAGAGGGTTAGCGAGGATGATATTCTGCAAGACACAGCGTGGGTCGTAAGTCCAACTTTCAAACAAGAGCGTCAAGTGAATATTTAGCAACATTTGCGTTTAGTTTTAGAAAATATAACAACATCATTTGTTTCGTCTTTATTGCTGGAAAAAAAAGAAACAAACTCCATTAAATGTTTAAACTCTTGAATGCTTTGAGTATTTTGACATCAAAATATGTCACTAATACAGGTGTAATAAACGGGTTTTAGAAGAAAAAGAGGAAAATAGAAAGCAAGCAGATTCATATAGGCAGGGATTTCTCGGAAGACAGTATAATTAAGAAGGATGTTGTTACTATTGGTATAATAATGAAACAAAAAATATCAGGTTTCCTGCTTTACTTTGTGAAATTTATTCTTTATATTTACTTTCAGACTGTTAAACATATCACAATACACTCAGGTGATTACTGCTTGATTGTGTCTACGGAAAATGGTAATCAAAACGGTGAATTCATCTTGAGACTTCTTTTCGACAGGAAGATTGATGTCATGTAAGAAACTTGATACAAATAGAACAAAAATAAATTTTGATAACAGAATATATTTTTTTACATAGACATCGAAAGCGTAAAAAAAACAGTTTTAGACAACTTCAGTGACTAAACAGGCAGCAGAAACACCGATAATATCAAAATGCGAAGGAAACGCCAGACCGTTTTCAGTATTGGACTAAATATTCTTACAACTGTGAAGCGGAAGTACTGTTCTGCCTAGTGATATCTCTGTTACCATAGTGCTGTCTCATTCAGTTTACTAGATATTTTCGCTACTGTGTTATAAAGTTCTTAAAAAACCAAAGACGCGAAACTAGCAGATATTTGTTGGTCAACAGTCAAATAAGACCAGAGCGTATTAAGAGGTGTGATTTCAACAATGAAACCTAAACCATAGAAAAGTCATTATATCACAAGTTACACTGCCATTTACACTGTATCATTTCCCACCCAATCGCCTGCAGTAATCAGACTTTTTTGGTGAGAAATATTAATAGGTGAACTACTTTGCAATAACCTGTCGTCGTCAAAGTGGTTTATCATTAGCACACTTTAGTTTATTTTGATTGGACTCAAATGCATATCTTTGACAAGCGCCTGTCAGTGAGCAGACTGACACAAAGTCAATCACTGATAAGTTCTGTTGCATTTGTGCTTATGAACTAAACTGGCTTAGTTTCAGACATCAATTGTAGAGCAAGCTCCAAGTATGACTTGACAATGATTTTCTCACGATTTATTTGAATTACTTCTTTGTTACCGATCATAATTGTACTAAACCAGAATTTAATTTTAATTTGAAACTGGTTGTATCTTGTATAAAAATACTGGTATTTAAGAGATGAATAACTTTTACTTTCGAATGTATAACTGTTTACAGAACAGAGATGTCTGAAGAATCCTGCTTTTTCTAGTGTTAGACTAAAGCCCTACTAAAAACGCTAAAAAACGCAGTAACACCTGTTGCACACAATAGCAATGCAAAAATGTGGCAATAATAAAGCCAAAAAAAATTAAGTGGTTCTTTGACCGCTGACCAAAAACACCTTCGTCAGTTGCGTTTTAACTAAGTTGGTCAAAGCAGTAGAACTCTTTAATAAAACTTACTCTAAAATGTCTCAAAATTAAATAAACAGCAAAAAAATTTTATTAAAAAATAATTTTTAAAGAAATTTTTTAAATATTAGTAAAAGCAAAGAAACTTTGTAACACCATTAGTTTAATAACGCAAATAAAGCTGATCAAAACTGAGGAAAAAAATTTAGCCAGAAGTTATAGATCAACTGTCAAAGTAAATACTTAATAAATACAGCAAGCTTGATATATCAAAAAATGTTTAACTATCAGGCGTTTACAAATACTTCAAAAAGTACTTTTTTGCTTAAGTGAACTATAATGAATAGATCACAAATTTACAATTTTTGTTTTGAAAGCTCAATTCCTTTTTAGTGTTTTATGACTACAGCTGTAGTTTAAACCATGACTGGAAGATCAAAAGCTCTGTAGCTGCTTTTAGTTGCGAGTAAATTGTTTAGATGCTTATGAGGATCTATTTTCATTTAAGAAAGTTGGCCTGTAAGAGATTTATTCAATCATTTATTTTTACGCATTCAGCAACTATAACGCTACAGGAATAAATGCAAATGTGTTTTGGATGTTTTGCAATTATACTCTTAAAAAACTTAAGCATAATACTGTACATTTCTAATTTAATTACTTTGCATAACTTGGTTTCCACCTTTCTAATCTAGCCTTAAACTTGGCAGTAAACTGCAGCACGAGGATAAGTTTAATAAAGACCAGTAATACTCTGTTACTTTATGCTGTTTATGCCAAATATGAAAACTTTTAACCTGAAATTTTTAACTAGATTGTTTACCAAATACTACTTAATAGGAAAACGTACAGCTCTGAACTTCTGAAGCTTCTTCAGCAGGAAAAAACAAAGTACTTGCACTTATACTTTTGCTTCTGTTTTACTTCCTCGTGTTTTTTTAAATAGATTATAAGTAGATAAAAGAAGTAAAAGAAGACACATTTTAATCAAATTTTTTTTATAATCTTTCTTTGTTTTTCTTTTTATTCTTTCAGTTTAAACCGAAAAGAGCAAAAGGTAATCACTAAATTATTTGATTGAAGCTTTCTACTTTTCATTTAACAGCAAATTCACTTAAAACCGTAAAGAAGCTGAATGTTTTGAGGGGCAAATAGACTTACTTTGAACAAGGAGAAAAGTTCTGTACACATGTTTTCAACACTGCAAAAAATTTACTTGAATCAATTTAGCAACAAACATCTGAACCAACAATTATAGAAAAGAAAAAAAGAAAAAAATGAATAGCTTCACAGTTTTTTCATCTCTTAGTTCTCTCGTATATTTTCTGTTTGAAAACGTCTTCCATCAAATCATCATCTCTTATTTTCGTCTTTTATACTTTACAATCACTTCCTCAAGTTTTTAATTCTTTGTTTGACTTACTCTGTCGTCTTTGGTGTTATTTCAAGTTTTTGTTGCAGTTTAAAGTAATAATTATTGCTAACATTTCTTCTGATATGCATAAGCGAAGGTATCGGAATGGTTAAACAAATTTTTCAATATTTATCTATTTCTGATTTATTCTATGCAGTTTCTTTCAAAAACCAGTGCAAGGCGTCATTTCACTAACATCTCAACAGTTGCTTTGATTAGTAATTCATGAATCATTGTTAAGCAGGTATGACTTCATATTTGTCAGCTTATTAGAACAGCACAAAAAAACATCTTGTAAAACGTGAAATATTAGGTGAAAAAAGAAAATTCTACCAATAAACAGTTTTTGAACAGGGTACTGACTGAAATTTCTGTAAATTGTGACTTCTCTTCGCAATTTTCTTCACTGTTGTAAAAAATTTTAAATAAATGATGTACTGAAAAACGTTACCATATAAACTTTGATGTTGATGAGAAAAGCTAAAAAATTCAAGACTGGTTTGGTTTGAAAGCTGGTTTGAAAGAAATTTTTCGACTAACTTTAGTATAGTTATGTGTTACAGTCGTATTTTACGGTGATTATCAGTGTTTTAACACTGTTTATAGTTTTTTAACACTAAACAGCTATCAAATAAAAGAAGTAAAAAAAACGCATTGTTTAGTTGGCGAATTGGAAGAAGTCTTACACTTAGGTTAGTACTTTAACTTGAAGACAGCGTGCTAAAGAAAAAAATTAAATGTCCTTAATACTTTAAAACAGATTTCTTTGATAAGTCCTTAATTAAAGCTCTGTATGACAGACGAGTGTTTCAAAAGACGAATTATGAGAAATTTATAAATTTTATAGCATTTACATTTGACCACTAAAAACCTGTTACATATTTTCCAAAAAAGAAACTTGTAGCTCTAATAAGAATAACGCTGTACGTTGAATGTACTGTTGTAGATAAAAAGCAGAAGGTCGAAGTTAATCTTCAATGAATTAGGTTTCATATATTCAGTCATATTAAATACATAGCTTTTATTCTCCTACGTGGTTTTTTCAGTCATCAAAACATCAAGAACAAAAAAAAAGTTGTTGTCAAGTAAAAAAAACTAGAAAAAAAGTTTCAGGAAAAAAACAGTATAGCGACATTTCTATTTTGCACCCTTATTATATATCAAAATTGAATACAAATTATAAATTTCTTATCCGATTTAGACAGCATTAGTTTCGTACAAAATTAAAAGTCTATATGGTAATAATGTTACTGTTAATATTTTTGATAGTAATTTTAATTAACGAAAAATCAAACATACGAAAGAAAAGCTTGGAAAGAAGGCAATGTCAGGAGAACTGCATAGTAGGATGAAGGCTTCTGGGTTTGGTGTCAATTTTCACAGCTTCACGTTAACGTTTTTTTGTCACGCCTTGTTATTCCAGTTTTATTCTGTATAAAAAACGTATTTATAAAATGTGTTAACTTTAAGTTTTGCTTGACAAATTTTTTATTGCTCAAATGCATTGGACAATGCTAAAGGTTAGTGGCATTATAAAAGAAATTTCTTCTTCATGAGCAAAGCTGAAAATTCAGAATGAGATTTGGTGTATCATGCATTACACTATATTATCCGACCATCTCAAGCTTAGAAAGATGTATGTGCATTCAAACAAAATTCTCTTTTTAAATATTACTTCGTTTCTCATCTCGATGTAACTTTTTGTATTCATTCATCATTTTAGCGTGTCTGTTTCTCTTCTGTGACAATGACCACAATGTTAGTGTTACTGCTGTCAATCCCATAAAAGGATAACTTTTTCAAGTGATACAGCCAGATACGACAACTGAGACAATACAACTGATTCTTGTAACGTGGTTTTCGATGGGTTCTGCTGGTCAAGATTTGCCATAGTTCAGCTCAACTTATATTCATAATAAACAAAAACCTAATTGGAGTTCTCTAAGTTCTGTTTCTTATGTGAAGTATTTGTAGTAGCAAAAAAATCTGAGTATTGTTTCAGCACATTCAAAGCATTTTTGATGAACTGTCAAGTAGTATTGTTCTGCAGATTGTTTCTTTGGTAACGACAATATTAGAAAAAATATGTCATAAAAGAGTCGGTTTTCTTACTAAACAATTTTTTTTCTTGCAAATTAGTACACAGCTAGTTTGAAAAAAAGTAAGGAATAGATGTTCTGATATATCAGAGCTGCGACGCTTTGATAGTAGTATAAAGTGAATGCATTTGATTTCCTTTACTTTTCTTCAGTTTTTAGTGATTAGTTGAGGAAGATATGCGACAGGCAATGATTAAATGTAAATTGTAAGCAGAACTGCATAGTAGTTAGGCAGAAAAAATATTGAACAAACCGATACAGATACACAGATGCATACATTATACACATCTACAGTAGTCCAGTAACTGCCTAAACGACCATATGTGCATCAAGTATTTTGAGGTTTATTGATAATTAGCATAATAATGAACGAAAACTAATATTATAAATGAGCAATGAGTGTACGCTTATCGTAAGCACAGACTATGCAAACGCTATAATCACTTGTAAAATTATAGGTCTGCGATAAATCAAACAGTGATTTTGTAACAGAAAAAAAAAAAAAAGAAAAAAAAAGAGAATACCAGTTTTGTTATTAAAATAGAGAAACCGTCGTTTATCAAATATCTTTTTTTGTTAGTCAGAATGCTTTGATACTGCACCTTAACTGTCATATTATATCAATAAAAACA